CCATTTTGATTTAATCTGGGCCGTCCGTTTTTGATTAAATCTGGGCCGTCCGTGCGATTAAATCTGGGTCGTCCGATCGTCCGCCTGATCTGGACCGTCCGATCGCGCCCACGCGGATTGCCAACGTGGCCCTTTCTGGAACGACGTGGTATTGCCACGTGGCAGGTCCTGGTTGGCCGGGACTGCTGACCGGGCCTGCTGACGTGGCTTTTTTTTTTTTTTTCCTCCTCCTTTCCGGGTGCTACATGGAAAGTAAACAGTCCGATAGAGATAACATCTAGTCAGGCAAGCCCATTGGATTGGATAGAGATAACATTTTGGATAAACATCTGTATAATCTGATTTGTTGGAATTGGATTTTATATATATATTATATATATATACATTTTACTAAAATGCTGATTTCAAGTTGTATCGGGTTCGGTTTGATGATAAAAAATGAACAAATTAGGGTGGGTTCGAATAAATATAAATATATTTATGATAATAAAAAATTAAACGTACACATTTTGGAATATATATTATAATAATAAATATGATTATATTTATACTAATAAATATAATTAATGTATTAATAAATGGATTTTTAAAATTTTATTAATATAAAATATAATTATATTAATATTTATATTAATATAATAAAATAATTAGATCTAATAATTCGTAAAGCTGATGCAATTTGAAAAAACTAAAAAATTTTAAATTCATCCCAATCCAAAGGAAGTTCGGATTTAGTTTTTACAAGAACAAATGCAATTTAAATTTAACGAAATCCATCTCTAGCATTGGACCCAACATTGTCTCTCTTTCTCTTTACGCTTTATTCGCTGAAGCTGCACTGCATTGTTGGAGGTTCTTTTGATTCTTCCCGAGAAAACGATAGCCCGAGTCTTTGCCAAACTGAAGAAGCAATTTTATAATCGTTCCTCCGTCAACTGCTCACGTCAAGTTCAGTCCCAAAAGAATTCTGGCTTCGACAAATATTTACTTATGTGAACTGACATTAAAAAAGTTTCTGCTTAATTTCCAGTCCGGTTTTAGTCACTGGTATCAAACTTTAATATATGCTTTGACTTAATCTGGCTAAGAATGTATCCTGTTTTGTAAGAGTTGACCTAAATTACCCTTGTAGCTAAAAATTTTAAAAATTACGTCTATATATATATGCAAAATTTACTCTAGTCTGACATACAACTAACACCATCTACAAAATTTCCTTCAAAGCCAGTACAAATATTAATGCCAGTGTCAGCTGAATAAATACTTGATTGCTTTCACAATCATAATTTCCGTCATGATTTCATTGCCAAATATATCACCAATCACCATTGCCTACATGTGAAACGAAATGTAGAACTAAGAAAGCCATGCTTACCCAAAAAGCATGCATCAGCAAATAACTTCGGTTGCTGGATTTACAAATACGGTTTTGTACCCTACACCAGCCTTTATACTACAAAGAAGATGCAAATCCTTGATATCTTATTATTGTGCTAGCAGCTTTGAGTCGCATGCCACTATTTTAACTCGACCTACATTCTCTGTAGTTTCCTCGTTCTTAAACATTGCATCTTGTAAGATAAAGGTCCAAACGTTGTCGCAGAACCTGTAGGTGTGTAGATGCCCCTGCCAGATTAAACATATAAAGTTGCAAATAAGAGTTAATGAATCAGCAGAGATTCGTAAATTGATGCTAACTCATCATTCACGCAGTAGGTTCTCTAGAGAAAAGGTACGGACACATAAGAGTTTATGTTTCAAACTTTATATTCATAGTCAGAAAAATAAAACCAAAGAAGATATGTTATATGTTATAAAAATGTTCCTTAAGAAAATATACCAATTTCTATGTTATGAGCTATAATGAAAAAAAACAGAGAGTTTAATATTTCAAAAAATTATAAGGACAGATCGGCATATTGGACAGATTATGAGTTCATTGTCAATTTTATTTCTCTCTCTTCTGTTCCTTAGATACAGGATTGCTCAGTTATGTGAAGTTAGGTGTAATTTTATGTCTTCTTATCTCGAAAAATGTATTTATAATCTGTTGTGGTAACAAAATTGGCTGGCAGATAATTCTAGTGGAGTTTTCAGTACCTCCTCCCCTAAGACGATCTTTACCTTCGGAGATGTTTTATCCTCAAACATGTCCTAACATCAGCAGAAAAATTCTGCAGATTTTTGTTCCAATTTTTCAGTCTAAAGATCCTTAAGCAGTTTCAGGGCTAAGGATCATATTATGCAAGTAATGTTCATCATGCAATGGGTATTTTAGAAATTCAACTTCTCCACTGCAACAAAATTTAACAACAGATATTAATCTTGAGAAATTAAAGCATCAGAAACACATTGACTAGACTCAATTCTCTACTATGCCATTCTCAAGAGTCTTGAGCATCAAACAGACGGATATATCAGTAACAACAGTTTAAAAATTCAGGAAATCATGCAATGGGAAGAAGATTCATTAATATGAGACTTAGTTTAGACACATATTTATAGGAAACTAAGTAAGAAAAAAGCTTTGCATATCAGCCAATTCATCTCTGTTTCTATATCATGAAAGAAAAAAAATTAATGTTCATTAAGCAACAAAAAGAATTTGCCTACGCACATGCCCAAAGCATTCCAAAGAAAGAAAAAGCAACCTTCACCATTGACATATGCTCTCCAAATGTAAATATTTACTCTCTTCCAGATTCAACAAGTTAAAGAAACTACCAAACTCATATAAACATAGCCCAACCAATAACCAACAAGGCAACAACATTATTTTCGAGATCCTGAGCTAGTTTTGACAACACTTGAATCTTCGTAATCCACATATTAGCACATGCATAACCAATACACAAATTTGAAGGACAGCCGTTAATCATCTAGAGTAAAAAAAGTAGTTCTGTGAAAATGGTGCTCTCCACAACAACTAGCATACTGACATGAGCAGCATGCAGATGGTCCACTCAATTACTAGGCAGGTAAAAAGGAAAAGAAAAGTGAAAAGGAAAGGAACTCAGACCCTATTTGGTTCAATACCCATTCAATTCCTATCACTATTTTCGCTTAAATTAGTATATCTTACATATGTAGAAGAGATCATAATTCTCATGTCTAGCTTTAAGTACTTAAGCTAGGAGTGGAAGTGAATAGAAATATAATCTTATCCCATACGAGAAGAAACTAAGAGAACATTTTGAATGAGATTCAACCAAATGGGAAATAGAATCTTACAGTCACAGTATGCTTCACTATAAGGATAAAGATTATACCATCGGAAAAAGGGGGCTCTTCAGATAACAAAGCAAACTAGAGTTTAAATGCTTGAATTCACTAACAGCACCATCCTCTGTAACCACCAGACCCATGTGCAGCAAATGTGTCAT